GCAGTGGTAGGAGGGTGAGAGAGACTCCCATAGGGCAGACCGCGCACTCTCTGGCTCAGTTGCCTTTTTACGTGATCTCAGTGGTCACTGGTAGTTTCTTTGCTATCTATTATGCAAAGATATTCCAGGCTCCTCTTAACATTCCTTGCCACAGACTGGAATCAGCCATTCCCTATAGGAAGTCCTGATTTTCTTTAATGGGAAATGGTATTTGGAAACAATCTGAGCAGAGATTTAATGTTCACTTACTGTATGAATGGCACTTCATCATTTCATGTATTAAACAACTGAGGATGTACTTGCCCAAATCCACAGATTAGATTTGTTCCCCTTTTTAGGCGCCCATACATGCCCCATACACTCCCTTTCACAACATTTTTAACCCTTAGGCTTCATTGTTCAATGTTAATTCTTCTTGTTAGATGAAATCTGTAATGCTCAGAAGTCATCTGTCAGACAAGTAAAGAAAGGGGAAGCTATGCTTTCATTTCCTGTCTAGGCATCAGATTAGCAATTATGAGTTCTTTATATCCCAGAGATACAGACTCTAAATCAACTCTTCTTAACCTCAGCTACATATTAGAATAATTTGAGAAACTTTTTGAAAAACACTGATGTTAGTCCCTAATTCCAGAGATTCCAAGTCAATTGATCTAAGATGGATCCAATACTTTTCAAAAGCTTCTCATTTGTTTCTAGTGTATATCCAGGACTGAGAACAGACGATCTAGATTAAAGATTCGTTCCTGAATCAAATCTTAATCTAGAATAGCTTCAAGCACATGAAATACATTTTCTAATGCATACTATATTCCCCCTCCTGGAAACTGTGTAAAAAGCTCACCTGAGTATATAAAAAAGCAAATTAATAACTTCTCCCCAGGTCAGCTCCCCACAGCTCTCTCATGCCTGTGAGTGGGCTCACAATATAGGTTTAAATCATTGGAATCAACCTTCTGAATCTACTGGAGAATCAACTTTCAGTAATCTCTCAAGTCCATTTTGTTTTTGGGGGGTTTTCTTGGGTCTTTGTCGCCCAGACTAGAGTGTAGTGGCATGATCATAGATCACTGGGCTCACACAGTTCTTCTGTCCAAGCCTCCTGAGTAGACAATAAACATTTGTTGAATAATACACAAATAAGTGGATGAAACTCATATAAAAAATAACCCAGTTTTGGGGGGCAGTTTATGGGTCTTAGAAGGCTCAACATAGACTAGGAGGCAGATATTTCAGAGGCTAGTAGGATAGGCCAGTGATTCCAAGGGGGTACCTGCTGGGTAACTCGGAGTTGTTCAATACCTTAGGCTTTTGCCAACTACCTGGACAAAGTGAAGGGTATATTTATAGCGAGACTCAGTTGTGTGTTGTTAACATCACAAGATGGGCTGAATTCACAAATAGAGCATTTCTGAAGGTAAGAAAACAGGACTTGGAGGGAGCAAATGAGTGTTATTTTCCTTGATAAAAAGTGTTGTGTCCCCACTTTCTATCTCCTAGAAGAAGGAAATGGATAATTCACTAGAGAAGATGCTATCATGATGTCACTAACCAGCTGGCAGTGGCAGTGAGGGAGAGGATAGGAAATGAGATCTTGGGGTAATTCGAATAGCTTTAGTGTAAGCAGTAAATTACATCTGATCTGACATGGAGGGGAGGTGTAGACCAACATAGGGTTAAATTTCAAGTCAGAAAGAAAGCTTAAAGAGCCTTTATAGAAATTTATATCATTTATAGAACATGATTTGAGATGGGGAAAGGTCAATTAAGTCATCCAAGAGCAAACAGGAGGAAAGCCAGGACTGAAGGCAGCATCTCCTAACACCTGGGGTCAGGAGGTGATGAAAGTAAGAAAGAAGAGTCTCCAGTGTAGACTCTAACAGGCCACCAATATGAATGCTGAAAACTCACTTCTACTTCAGATTTTGTTTAAAAAGTTTTTTTTTTTAATTAGGAGATGGAGTGAACTAAAATCACTTTTAAGGATTTTTTTTTAGCTCCACTGAATAACTGTGATATAGGAGACTGCACCAAACATGTACAAAGTCATAATCAGGTCTTTTTATTCTATATTATGTTTTAAAATCTGTAGTTTTAAAAACTGATTTTTCTGGGACTTTGTAGTTCTCTCTGGAAAATGAAATGTCGGAAATATTTGCTACGTATATTGCTATTTAATGGAAATTTTGCTATACAAATGAAAATGTAAAAAGGAAGTTATTATAAAATAGAACACTATGTAGGTTAGATTTTTTCTTAAGGATGAATTTGGACTTAATGTTGATTAACAGAAACCAGAACATGTGGTGTTCATTGTGTATGTTCAAACCCTGTGAACACGAACAAATGGGTTTGAGACAGCAATTGCTCTGCATGGGGTCAACCCAAATTGTTCCTTGCACTTAAGTCCTAGCTTACATTTTGTGCCCATGGCCATCATCTATGCCTGGGAACATTTTAACCTACATAGAGTAATGTGGTTTGCAATGCTTTCTTGACCTTGATGTTTTCAAATTTCATGTTAATTTTCACTGGAACCCATTAGCACATATTTGCCACCCCCAACCCACCCTCAACATACACATTTATGAGTTTTGAAGGCCAACTTTGGATGATTTGCACATTAAAAAATAATTTTTAATATCCTATCATTGTTATTACCTCTTTAAAAATTATTTCAATCATGTGATATCTTCTAATGAAATGATCAGAAGTACACATGGCAACTAAGCTACAGAAATTTTTCAGACTTTCCCAAGCCTGCAAAACTGCCATGGGCTTTTCTCTTTCTGTTCTTTACTCTGGGCACAAAGTACTCTTGGTTAGTGGTATTGCCCAAAAATTTCATATAAATGCTGAGGTAAACTTTACCATGGACTTAGCCATGCCTAGTGAAACCAATGGTCAGGTATGGAACACAATTTGGGTGCATGCAGCACAGCAAAAAACTTGTGTTGAATGAGGTCATTGAAGAGCGAAGTGAAGCAAATATGACCTATAGGTCAATGTATTTTAAAACATGTCCCTTTTTCTTCATCCTTATCATAGAATCCATGCTAATAACTAGTTGAACGCGAGATTCAAAGTCAAAATGATTTCCCAAAAGCTAGATAACTTTTGTCACAGTTTTCCCAGTTGGAAAGACAGTTTCAGGAAAGCTTGTATGCATCATATAATGTACTAATAACAAGTAAATACCATCTACATCTGGGAAACTGAGGCCCAGAGAGGTTAAATGACTTGGCTAAGACCATGCAACTCTTGTGGCCCTCAATCTGATGCTGAGCTGCTATTGGAAGCCATGTGTGTCTGGTTCTATAGTCCCACTCCCAACCACTGTCTACCAAGCTATGCTACAATTCTCCAAAAAAGTTTCATAATAAGGGAGTAATGAAAAATCTAGAGATATAAAAGATCTTAAAGGTTATCCAAATAAGAAGCTTTACAAAGATAAAAGAGATGCAGAGAGTTTCAATAATTCTCCCAGCTCCGTCCACTTTCAGGCCCCAAAAGAGTGTGATTCCTGGCACCATGCTTCTACTGTGTTCTCTTCAGCTGCACGTGCGGCACGGCACTATTTTCAATAATTTCTTTCAGTAATACTTACTGCTCTAAATTCTATCACTAGGCTTTTGGTCTTATCTGGTTTATGCTTCTAACTGCCTCTGTATGACAAGCTGATAAATCAAAACAGCAGTTTGGCTCCAAAATACATAATGCATTGCTTCTTTTAAATAGATAACTATAGTTTTCCAACCAAAAATAAAAGCAGAGTCACCACATATTTTCTGACTTTAGAGAATTTAAATAGGATACAATGGCTGTTTTTACTGTTTTGGAACTTTTCGTGAGGTGATAGTGTAAAAAATTGTAGAAACAAAAATTATCATTATCCCATAGCTTCCTGGATCTCTCTCAAGAATGTCTGTTCTAGGACAATGTTAATGATCAAATTTAAGCTCTCTAGACACAATGGTTAAAATGAAGATAACGTTCATGGGCCCTAATATTATATTCTGATACAGTCTCTTTTCTGGCTCTTAATAATTCCCCCCACACTATAGATTTGTGATAAAGCAAAAATGTTTAATCTCCAGAAGTGTGTCCACAAGACAGACAACTCGATGTGATGTTGCCCTGACATACCTACTTATTCTTTCCTTCATTCATCCCTATACTCGTTATAGGCCCTTCTGCCCTATAAACATCCAAAGGCACTAAGGCTTATCATAATTAAGGCATGAAAGGCCAAAGTTCTTCTGAGAGTGTATATAACTACCTGTCTAAAGACATCTTGAGAGAATAAGATGACAGATACAGAGCACATAGTTGGAGCACAATGACGGCCACTTATCACTTAGAGATTGGCTTCATGTAACTAACAACTGTTGGTCAGCTGTTTGGTTTGAAAAATGCAGATCTTCTTTTTGTGATTGGAATGAATATAACTGGAATCACCTGGCTGGCTCAGTCAGTAGAGCATGAGACTCTTAATGGATATTAATCTGTTGATTTCTTTGATTTACACAAGACCTGTGTGCAATGGTAGAATGTCTTTTCCAAGAAAAACAATTTACATTTGTTTTTGAGCTATGACATATATTGCCCCAAGACTTACGTGAGGTGCAGCATTTCCACGTGGCATTTACCCATCCTCCAGTAATGAGATGGTTTATTTTGATTTCATTGCATAATTGTCTTGAAGCACCATATATATTTACTTTCAGAGAGGGCCCCCAAAAGCCAGATTTAGACAATGATATCCTAAATTGACCAGCACAATTTAATACATTGCCATTACACTTAAACATTTACACAGTTGCAAATCTACTTATTTTAGGCATAATTTTATATAATATTTTGACAGACAAAAATATATATTCTGGAACCATTATATGCATCTGTCTATGAAGTAGCAAACTTACAATAAATTATATATTATACCATTGTAAATTTACATGAAGGCTAAAACAGAAAAAGAAATCATAATTTATGTTTAAAATATAATGTTAATTTATTATTTCCAAGTAAAAAGAGGAATAGCCATTATATTAGATTCACTTATTTTAAGCTTATACTCATTTCATATTCACATAAAATTCATTCCTTGTAAGTGTAGCAATGAAGTTGTATTTTGATGCTGAGTGTTTGAAACAACTAGTTGTTGATATTGCAGTGCAGCTACAGGCTTGCTGATTTGAATATGTGTGGGAAAAAGAAGCATTTAAATTACTCAAGAAATATGTTACAATCATATCAAAAGTATGAAAATAAAATATATGTTTTCTTCTAATGTTTAATCCACAGGTATTGCCTTCCAAGGTTAATATAGCCAGTGTCTGAATGTTTTGTTTATTTTATTTTCATTTGAGGGCAGATGTTGAAAATCAGGTCTACTGATTGAAGCTGGAAGAACACATAAATGTCTGCATTACTCATTCTGTCAAAACAAAGCAAATGATGGGTAAAAAGTATACTCTTGCACATTTCACAGCTTTGTGATACAACTGTCTTGGAAATTGGGTGGAAATTTATGCACAAATGTGCTTAAGTAAAGACCTTGTGACCATTGTTTCCTTCCTTGCGATCTTAAACCATTTTTGTATTTAAAAATCACCTTGCTAACATTTAGCACATTTGTGGATTAATAACAAACTAGTCTTTTATATACCTACTTTGAGGGTAGGTGAGGAATAATGGGTTAAATACAATATAATATTATTTATTGGCTTAAATGATCTAAATTATCTAGTTTTAGCATTTTGAACAGGGCAAACATTTTCCCCCTGTTTCCGTCTATTGTGAGAAATTGAATTACATAGAAGAAATTTTTAATGTTAACCTTCTTTTCCCCACTGAATTTAAGTGTGGTTGTTGGGACAATTTTTGCCTAATGGAATGGTACAATGTAAAGAGACCTGTAAAGAGACGATGCCTCCCTGTTGCATTATATGACAGTATGAGTGAGTGTTTCCTAATGCACATGGTGGAAGCCTGTGCCTCAGCAGGCTGAGACAGATGCTCAGGGTGACAGGTTGGATAAAAGCCACCATTCAGGTAGCATGCTGGGGAGCATGGTGCCTCTGGAATAATGGTTCTTGCCAGGAATTGTAGGCTCCAGCAATTCATTACTTTTATGTGTCAAATGTGTTAATATCTGTGGTTTTTTCTTTAATGAATTTCTTGCCCCTTTCTCTTTTTTCAATCAATACCTGAGAATCATGGACTCCCATACTTACTGGCTCCAAAAATATACTCCTTCCATGTACTCCATAGGGTACTGAATAGATTCTGAGAAAATAGATGAAGAAAAGTAATTCTCTTTTCATTTAGATATCTATGATATTCAGTGAAGATTTTGAATGCAATGTAATATTCACCATCAAATTTTGATAACGCACTGAAAATATGAGACATATAAAATTATTTAATTTCCCATTTTAAAAATTATCCTAGACATTAAATTCATGTTTAATGATAAAGATGTATTATCTGATGCTTTGAGATAATTACAATTAAATCTTATAAAAGGAATTCTAGGGTCAAGATACAACTTTCATTCTTAATGTTAAACACTAAGTTAACTTCATTTTGTTCATGATTTGCAAAAAAGAAGTATTTTTGGAAAAAAAAAATGTGCTTTAGTTTCAACAATTTAGACTGACTTTCTTTATGGGATCAGATTCCCTGATCACTTTTCAGCTCATCACTTCACTTTGCTTTTGTAGACATGGCTCTAGTTATTTCTATAATGTGTGACTGGTGTGAAAACACTTGAAACGGACACAAATCATTACACACACACACACACACGTGTTTATGAGTGTGTATGTGTAACAGCAGAAAAGGAGCAAAACAGTATTTAATGACCAATCTCATGAATGTTATCTAGACATCAAATGTTAAAATTGATGGCTTCTTCACTTTAGAACTTATTTAATTTTCTGCTTTCGTCTACATTTTAAAATTCACTATGTACTTTTTGTAGTAGTAATCTGTCTAGTCTCTAAGACTGGCTTATGTGAAAAAGTGCCAAAGAGTAGATCCCTTAACACTAAATCTTTCCTATTAATGAATATCTAAAAATTAGTAGTTTGTTTTTTTCTCATTTTACTACTATCATGAGGTGTTGTGAGTGCTTCCCATAATAATCATTCAATGAAATATATGTAAATTTAGCAGTGTGCCTCTCATTAACCATAACTGATGCTGTGTAGCTACCTCTCCTTACATAAGGCCCAATTCCACTTCCAATATTAACTTACATGTTAATTTAGATATATTTATTTTATCATGAAGCAAAACTTTATATACTTGACATAAAGATAAAAATGTACTGTTCCTCCTGTTACTTTCTGCTTAATTAACTTATTGCTTTAAGGTTGCTTAATAATCCTTCAGGTACTCTTGTTTGTGCATACAGTAGCTATGGAAACATACAAATTAACCCAGTGCTCTTCTACAAAGATGGATTCTATTTTCCTATCACCTTGCACATAAATAAATGCCAGTACATAACATTTTTTTGTGTTTGCTTTGCCCATGCTCATATTACATGCCATTAATAAAAGAATAACAGATTGCACATTCAGCAAATGTTATAGCTCAGAACATGAAAGAAGGGGTTAATCATCACACTAAGAAAAATCAGCTGGTTAATTCATTGCACCATTCAGGGGAGTGACTGAAGTTATTCTCATAGCTTCGGTGCTATAATGAAACTAGACTCATCAGTGCATTAGCAAACAAAGTTTGTATCAAAACTATCCAATTTCCTTTTTTTCAGTCTCTTTCACATCTACTTCCCTTTTTTGTAACAAATATAAATGCTTTATTTGGCCCTTTGTTCTCTCAGTGGAACTTTATTTTTATACCTAGCAAAACTACCTAGCATCAAAATCAGTATTACTATGGATGAGAAAGAAAGTTGTTGCTTTCATAGGTGCTTCCTTCTAGCTTGGCGTGTGTTTGTGCAACTGCACTTTATATGAATTTTTACCCTCCTGAACATTGTTTATATTTTAAATATATTTTTGTATGCTGCAAATCATCTCTCCAGAACTACCCTATTATAGTGTTCTGTTTGCTAAAGCAGTATTTTATTTAGATGGGGTCACTGTAAATTATCTTCAGTCCCAGACCCTTCTGGACTGGAATCAACATCAAGGAAGGCCTCTTTATTGGTGAAAGTTGAGCTGAGGGTCATGCTCTGTCGCGGCTTCACAAGTGCAAGTTCATCTAATTTAATATTTTCATTTTTGACAAGAATTGTCTTATCCATGTTTTCTTCACTGTGTCTTGCAACAACAGCATCAAATAGATCTAATTTAGGTGGCAAGCTTCCACTTTCAAATAGATATTTGGCTAGATAGGAGATGCAAATGTTGGTTAAGAATGAAGTAACCATGGCAAGTGTTTTAAATGGGAATTTCTGATTATATATACCATTCTCATCAGGGTAATAGCCAGGGTAGAAGATCAAGGGCTGAAGATAGAGGTATGGCTCCCCTCCAGTTATTCTCAGGAAGAGGCCAGAAACATAACCTGCCACAGCCCCATAGGTGTTGGTTCCCTTAACAAAGAGTACACAAAGCAGCTGGGGGAAGATGACGATGTAAACAAGGTCAGAACTGAGGTACCAGAGCCCATACACAGTCTTCGTCAGCAAGGCCATGGCTGTTGCAGATGCTCCAAACACAAATACTGTGATTCGCATGACCCAAACGATTTCTTTGTCCGAAGCCTGTAAGAAATTGCCACAGTGTCAGCTTTTTGCACAGAGTCTTGACTCATGTAGGTCAAGAATGAGACACATTTTTTGCTTCAAAACTAGTCTAAAGAATTCCCCTGGTTCAAATGGCTCAATCTATGGGAAAACTCAATACAGCTACAGTACCCAAAGGAAACAATTAAGGTGACTTCCTGGGTGGACCTTTGGGAGGGGTTTCTGTGTACCAGATGCATGACATGTAGGCCACCTAGGCCTTTTCCTGAATGCATAGGGGGAAAGGTAGGATGAGCTAACATGGTGTCAGAGAGGTATAATAAAGCACGGGAGGATTTCCTCACTTTACATATTAGGGGACAGTTCTTATGTGGCATTGACAGATCATAGGCCATCCCTACTTTATCTCTTTGTAGAAGCGCTACCATCCTTAAAGCTAACCACCTTCTGGTGCTCTTGAAAAGACACATGTGGACGGGCGCAGTGGCTCACGCCTGTAATCCCAGCACTTTGGGAGGCCGAGGCAAGCAGATCACGAGGTCAGGAGAGCAAGACCATTCTGGCTAACACGGTGAAACCCTGTTTCTACTAAAAAATACAAAAAATTAGCCGGGCATGGTGGCGGGCGCCTGTAGTCCCAGCTGCTTGGGAGGCTGAGGCAGGAGAATGGCATGAACCCAGGAGGCAGAGCTTGCAGTGAGCCGAGATGAAACCACTGCACTCCAGTCTGGGCGACAGAGCGAGACTCTGTCTCAAAAAAAAAAGAAAAGTAAGACATGCACACGTATGTTTATTGCAGCACTATTTACAATAGCAAAGTCATGGAACCAACCCAAATGCCCATCAGTGATAGACTGGATAAAGAAAATGTGGCACATGTACACCATGGAATAGTATGTGACCATAAAAAGGAATAAGATCATTCCTTTGCAGGGACATGGATGAAGGTGGAAGCCATCATCCTCAGCAAACTAGCACAGGAACAGAAAACCAAACACTGCATGTTCTCACTCATAAGTGGGAGTTAAGCAATGAGAACACATGGACACAGGGAGGGAACAACACACACCAGGGCCTGTTAGGGGGTGGAGGGGGGCGGTGCAAGGAAGGAACTTAAGAGGATGGGTCAATAGGTGCAGCAAACCACATGGCACATGTATATTTATGAAACAAACCTGCACGTTTTGCACAAGTATCCCAGAACATAAAGAAAAATTAAAAACAAAGAAGAAAATGCCTTGTCCAAGGAGTTCCTTTGGTTACATTTTTAAAAATCAAATAAAATCAAAACAAAACAAGGCAAAAGCAAAAACATTGGGATTGTTTTGTTAATTAAAACCTAGAGAGAGGCAAAGCTTTAATCAAGCAAGAAGCATGCTGTTTTGCAGCCACTTTGATTCAATAAAGAAAATCAAATTGAGAGGATATCTTCTAGCAAAGGTGGACTAGGGAGTGCAAGTATAAAACAGTTCAGAAGTTACAAAAATACGTGTCAAACAACTTACCATGCCCTGCTTCCACCAAGATTCTCCAGTGTCGTAGAGAATTTAATTATACTAAATGTTTTGGTGATAGTTTAAGTTTCATTACTCTTTCATCAGAAAGACAAGAAGGTTAAATGATAGCCCTGTGACTGTACCTCTTGGGAAATAATTATATTGATTTGTTCCCTTTAGTATTGACATGAATAATAACATATATTGATAGCATCCATTCAGCATAGGTATAATTTGTTATTTAATCTCATATGCTTAATCAAAGTACAGTCAGATTTAATGTAGAATATTAATACATATATAATAAAGTATATACAACAAATACAACATCATCAGCAGCAAGAGCAATGCTAGTAAACGACAGGTTGAAGGAAACTGTTCTTACATTTTGTCTGAAGGAAAGCTGGTAGATGTTCCGTGCAAACATGGAACTTGCTGACAAGATGGAAGAGTCTGCTGATGACATAACAGCAGCAGAAACTGCACCAAGACCAAAGAAAGAAATATACACAGGGCAGAGATACTGCAGAACAATTGGTAAAATCATGTCTGCTTCTTCTGTAGTCTTGGGATCTGGAAGCCCATATGCAGTCTGGTTCCAGTCTGTTGAACAGAATCAACAACCATTACAACAACCAAAGAGCCAAATGTTCTTTATCCATCTGGGGTCATCCTATTTACTAGGTTGTTTTGAAATAAACTCAGAATCATGTACGTTAGTCTGCTTAGGTGTGAAGTCCATGTGCTGGTCAAGTGGAAATGTCTTATATCTCCTGACTTCTAAAGGGTATTGGTTACAATTAGGGTTATTCACAATGCCTGCACAGACACTGGTAGTAAGAAATATATTTCCTTCCTGCAGTGATGGTGTTACATTGCATAGAATCATAGAAAACAAATGCTTATAAACATAATTCTAGAGTATTCCTTCGACCACTTGGAAATGTGGTGGGACACTCACTGTTTCTTCTTTAAGGCTCAGTTATTCATATGTAAATGAAAAAAGACAATAGTAGGCCTGTTCTCAGCCATCATCTCTCTGTACATAAACTTGGTTTTGAAGCTGCCTCAGCATTAATTTTCAACTATTTCCACCTTGCATAGAATTTCACTAGATTAAGAACAGTCCCTTTTTATTGAATAAAAAGTATAGTCATGTGGTTGAAATTTTCAGGAAGTTTTGGTTGTGGTAGGGTAAGAAGACTTGGAACACAGATTTATCTTTGAATACATAGCTTCTTTACTGGTTAGTTGTAGCATGTGTTGAAAAACTATGGAATCCTTAAATGTACGTTAGCATAGTTGGCTTTTTATTTGCTGAACTTCTTTAATATCATGATCATTGGAACAAATAAGAATTGTTCTTTTTGGATCCTACCATTTTTTTCTTCCCTCATTTTCTATTATAGTTGTCTCCAAAACCTGCTTACATGCAGGCAACTTTGTGGCCTTAACTGTGATATTACGATAACAGAAATAACAAACAAGAATGTGTATCTAATCCAAGAAAAAATAGGCTTAATGCTGTTTCTGTTAGCCTGTGTTCCTACAATACACATGCACACACACACACACACACGTTCATATATGTTTTCTGCTTGTGAGAGAAATACTATCCTTTTTCAAAGACAAACACTACCTACCACCTTTGTCAGTCATCTTTACAACTTTTGAAGTGTTTGTCTCCTGGACGAACAACTGGAATGGAGAATCTACACTATGAACCAGGACTGCTCTCCTAAAAGTTAAACAATCCAATAAAAGACTCTACTAACTGAAAGTCAAAGTTGCCGTAGGAACATTACCCTGGATCACCTTTACAAAATACAACAGGGCAAAAGGTGAACTTTAATCTATTTTATTCCCTCTACCTAGAAGATGCCTTCAAATTTGAATTAACATGATGTATTTTCATTGAGTGCTCTTAAAAGTTACAACACAGGAACATAATGGTCAGGAGTAATTAATACATTTCATTAAATTAAAGGTGAGCTTTTGAACATGTTCCACATAGAGACTAACAGGGAGGTAAACATTTCATAATACTCTTTTTTCAAAACTGTTTTTCAGGAAGTTATTCTCTAAGTGACTTTGTTTCTTAGTTTGTCTTGACCTAAACACTTATTCATTGCTTTCTTCAAGAAAGAAAACTCCTAATTAAAACCTAATAAAGATGTAAAGCAGAAATCTTAAGTTCAAAGTGATCTTTAGGGAGGTCATGAGGATGACAGGTAAAGTTCTCTAAGCTTGTGACTCTCCACTCTGGCTCTCAACTCACCTAGGGGTTTGAAAAGAACACTAGTGCTTGTCTCTATCCTCAGTTATTGAAATAAAATTCCTGTGAAGTAGGCCAGATGTCTGTATTTTTAAAAGATCCCCCCACCATTCCTCAGCTGATGTCAGCAGGCACCTTAGTTGGGATACACTGCTGGCGGGAGTGCATATAAACAATCGATAAATATACCACAACTGGGAGGAGGGTGTGCTTGCCAGTGTTGCGTAGTGGAGTGAGCAATCAAAAACATTGGAGGCTGGGTGCGGCAGCTCACACCTGTAATCCCAGCACTTTGGGAGGCCAAGGCAGGTGGATCACCTGAGGTCAGGAGTTTGAGACCAGCCTGACCAACATGATGAAACCCTGTGTCTACTAAAAATAAATAAATAAATAAAACAAAATAAAATAAAATAAAAATAAAAAATTGGAGACCGCTGAACTATAACACAATTTACTGAATGCTATAACAAATTTATAAACATAAATGTGATGCGAAAGAATTCACCATGTGGAGGTAAGAGGGAAGTGGGACAGAAGGGTGTCTGGGTGGGGACTGTAAACTAACTGGCACATGTGGTGAAGCTACAAGAGATTTACCTGTTGATGCTCCAATGGCCCCAATGAGTATGGCTGGGACAGCCATTACCAGGCACCCGAAAGCTGCCAGGAAGGACAGCACTTGAGCATAGGTGGCTGAGGATGAAGAGAGAACCCTCTGGAAGTACGCTTGCCATGGGATTCCACCCAGCATCTGTGTGGGAAACACGAGGATGGAGAGTAAACTAGAGGCAAACATCTATTCTATTTTTTTTTAAAAGAGATTTATTGCAATCACATTTAGAATAGTCATAAGTACAACTTAGAAGTATTTTAAAAAGTAGCATGTAGTCACAAACATCAATTAGTACCATTATGTTTGCTATGATCTGATGTCCATGTTCCCCCTAAATTTATACAATGAAATTTTATCACCAAGGTGATGGTATTAGGTATCAAGTTGGCAACTTCGGGAGATGATTATCCCATGAGGGTGGATTCCTTATAAAAGAGAGCCAAATGAGTTTTTTTTCTCTTCCACCATGTGAGGAGGCAGCAAGAAGGTGCCTTCTATGAGGATGCGAATCCTCACCAGGCAGTGAATCTGCCGGCACCTTGATCTTGGACTTCCCAACCATGTGAAGAACTGTGAAAAACAAACCTGTGTTGTTTATAAGCCACTCTGTTTATGATGCTTTGTTACCCAACTGAACTAAGACAATGTATCATCAACTTTCATTTGTTTAGTTTTTTGTTGTTCTTTTTTTTTTTTTTTTTGTTTTTTTTAAATTTATTTATTATTATTATACTTTAAGTTGTAGGGTACATGTGCATAACGTGCAGGTTTGTTACATATGTATACTTGTGCCATGTTGGTGTGCTGCACCCATCAACTCGTCATTTACATCAGGTATAACTCCCAGTGCAATCCTTCCTCCCCCCTCCCCATGATAGGCCCCGGTGTGTGATGTTCCCCTTCCCGAGTCCAAGTGATCTCATTGTTCAGTTCCCACATATCAGTGAGAACATGCGGTGTTTGGTTTTCTGTTCTTGTGATAGTTTGCTAAGAATGATGGTTTCCAGCTGCATCCATGTCCCTACAAAGGACACAAACTCATCCTTTTTTATGGCTGCATAGTATTCCATGGTGTATATGTGCCACATTTTCTTAATCCAATCTGTCACTGATGGACATTTGGGTTGATTCCAAGTCTTTGCTATTGTGAATAGTGCTGCAATAAACATACGTGTGCATGTGTCTTTATAGCAGCATAATTTATAATCCTTTGGGTATATACCCAGTAATGGGATGGCTGGGTCATATGGTACATCTAGTTCTAGATCCTTGAGGAATCGCCATACTGTTTTCCATAATGGTTGAACTAGTTTACAATCCCACCAACAGTGTAAAAGTGTTCCTATTTCTCCACATCCTCTCCAGCACCTGTTGTTTCCTGACTTTTTAATGATCGCCATTCTAACTGGTGTGAGATGGTATCTCATTGTGGTTTTGATTTGCATTTCTCTGATGGCAAACAACCCCATCAAAAGGTGGGCAAAGGATATGAACAGACATTTCTCAAAAGAAGACATTCATACAGCCAACAGACACATGAAAAAATGCTCATCATCACTGGCCATCAGAGAAGTTCTTTTTCTCTATAATTACATAGAGCAATTATTTCTTTTCATTTATTTACCTATTTTGAACTGCATTTAAACTACCCTAGAGGCCTTCAATTTGTTATCATCTGGTGGTTGCAACCATCATAAAATATTCTCAAAAAATAATTAAGATTGTGAAAGTATGACATTTAACCTGAGTCAATGCAACCCAAAAATATTTTTACACTCCAATCATGTGCCAGGCAATTTAATGGCTGTAAAAGCAAGGACATTAATAAGCTATGGTTCTTTCCCTAGAACTTACTTTCTACTGGGAGAGTCAATGTATGTGGTGTTTTCCAAAGTGAGCACTGCGGAGTGCTCAAGGCAATACAGCTGGCATCAAATAAAATATTTCTATGTATATTCATTTTACTTTGTACCTAAATATTGTATGGTTGCTTTTATTAAATGATTTACGTCACATATCAGTAGAGAATAGATAAGCAACTGATAGATATACATACCTCTATTGGAATGTGCTTAAATTTCTTACTGAGCATATACGATCAAAAATGTTTAAACTATAATGCAATTTGTTGCATGATATCAAGAGGTCTGTATGGGAATTAAAATGATAAAGCATTAATTATTTGCGACAAGAAAGAGGTGGTAAGAAGAGAGAAAGGGTAGCTGCATGTTAACAGGAAAACCTGCAGAAATGAAGTGCAGATTGTCCATAGGCTTTGAGAGCATTTTCACAGGTGGAGATAGAGGGAGAAGAGAGTACCTGAGAGAGAAACTCATAGGAAAGAAGAAAATAACGACAGCAACCAGGCGGCTGAGACCCCTGGGTGTTCCGTATGATGAACGTCAGTGACTGAGGGACTGGTTGCAGGAGAAGCTGGAAACATACTTTTGGCTAGATTACTGTTACTTCTCTTCCCGGTATAAAGTCAATATTCCATAAATATTGGTCACATGAATGAATGAATGAATTGATAAATGAGCTTGCCATAGCACAATGTATTGAGGTTTCATTAACTACCTGTCTGTCTCACTGGCCTCTGGTGGGGATGTCTGTCTTATCATGGTCTCACCTGGGCTAAGCAGAGTATCTGTTACATAGATACCATAACAATCTCCTTCTTATAAAAGCCATATATGTTCAAAAGTAATTAAAGGAAAAAAAATCTAAAATTCATAACCCCATTCCTCAAGTCTATATTCTTCCAAAACCTTTTCCTTTCATTTTGTGACCTGTTTTATCAATATATCATTAACATCTTGCATGTCAATGACTTGAATGGATTGATACATCATAAATTACATATTCATCACCCTGGACATTTAGGTCATCAGAAGTTTTTAAGTGGGGTAAAGTCTGACTTCATCTACAAACAGAAGCTCTCATGATGCAATGGACTGAATGTTTGTCCTCCTAAAATTCATACGTTGAAACTCTAATCCCAATGTGATCATATTCAGAGGTGGGGCCTTTGGAAGATAATCAGATCATAAGGGTGGAGTCCTCATTATGGGATTAGGACCCTTTTAAGAAGAGGCCAGGGAGCTCTCTCACCCTCTTTCCACCATGTGAGGTCACAACAAGAAGTGGACAGTCTGCAACCTGGAATACTGCCATCTTTAGAACCTAATCATGCTGGTACCCTGGTTTCAGATTTCCAGCCTCCAGAATTATAAAAATTATATTCTTCTGTTTATACATCACCCAGTCTATGGTAAATTGTAACAACAGCCCAAACTGACTAAAGTAGGTAGCAATATGGAAAGTGGGCACGGGGGAGTAAGAGGTGGGCAGGCTGCCATCAGGGAGACTGGTGGGGGTTATCATAGTAGACCAGGTAAGGAATGCAGTCTACCTAATAGAGAGCAAACATGAGGACAGTGGGCAGGTTCCAAGTGTGACTGGGAGATACACTGACAGTATCATTAGCAGGACTTGACAAGTCATCTTAATGTAGGGGATGTAGGAGAGACAACTGGAAGATCAAGCCTATTGATGCAGCATTTCAAGGCTGATTTCCATAGTTTATTCATTTCTTCAACATGTACTATTTTAACTTGTCTTACAATTTGAATCATGAATACGACTAAGTCATATAATTTTGTAGAGCTGGAAGGAATTTAGCAATCACTTTATACAATGTCTTATTTTAAAGATGATTAGTCTGAAGACTAAAGCTTGGTGTAGGGGAAAGGACTTTGAGTTCTTAATATTCTATATCAATCTCTAACTCAGACAATGGTGTGATTATTGACAAATTGCTTAACTGTTCTAAGTCTCATCATCTCTATGATGTAACCATAAGCACATCTACTATGCAGGTATAGTTACATATACATATTTACTCTTACTCCAGTTCATAATTTTAAGCCATTCCAGAAAAATGAGAGCCAACAGATTTCTCAACAATCCTTAGGCAAAGAAGCCCTCCAGTGCACTACTGGAAATATATATTTTCCTGTCCCTTACTAGAAACATTTTTACTAGAAAAGACACAGTCACTTTGAATGTTGAGATAATGCTAAAATTCAGCCATGTGCCGTGATCACAAAGTCGTACCATATTGCCAACCTTCTACAGAGAAAACAAAAATAACCAATTTACCTTTAAGTTTAATAGAAAAAGTAATCTATTTCTTTTTTAAAAAAGATTATTTTTGTAGAGATGGGGCCCTGCTATGTTGTCCAGGCTGTTCTCAAACTCCTGGCCTCAAAATGAACCTTCCACCTCAGACTCCCAAAGGGCTGAGATTACCGGGCTGAGCCACCACACTCCACCATAATTGATTTCTTACGTTGAGATCAAATACAGTGTGTTATTTTCAGGCCTAACTCCTCTAATTAGCACAGTCATAAAATCTGGTCAGTTCTTCTGGTTGTTCCCTCTTGCCTCAATGGGATTGGCCATTATCTCCTGAATGTTCTCCTCAAAGTGCCTGCACCTTTGCCCCAAAGTTCTGCCTGTTTTCAAGCTTCCACTGGCTCCTGAGGGCCTCTCTCTTGGCATCTTTCCTGAGTGACACGTACTTTTCCAACCCGCCTCACTTAGGGCCTCTAGCACTAGTAATTCTCTTACTCTGTAATTCAAGAGTGAATGAGAGACTTATTCCATAAGTTGGGTTTCATGCCTTAATTCAAAACACAAAATAAAGCTTTTACGAGGTTTTGCCTTCAGGTTGGGGAAAATTCTAGGGGTAGGGCATGTTATTCCTTGACTTACATCACAACGGAAATAAGGACACACCACACAGAACACCTCACGCTGTCCCCTTAGGGCCTCATTTGTTCTCCACCCTGACACTGTCAGCCACGACAGTCCGGCCCTGGCTCCACCCTCCCAGGAGAAAGTCCTCAATTCAGAAATGGCCATGAGCCCACAGGCACATTTTTTTTACTATGAATATGAAAATCGTGAAAATAAATTTGATTTTAGGAACAATTAGATCACATTCCTCAGGTAAAGGCAATACTTACCAACAACAGAAAACTATCAAGCCAAGAGTAGACTTCAGATGAGTCAACAGTTCCCAGCCACGGCTTTTGGTATTTAGCATGCACAGCAGTGAACCCGATGTCTGCGACTGCAGGATGTGACAATGCAAAGGGGACGCTGATCCACTGCAACAGAAAGTGACACTGGAGCCCTAGGCCGTGATTTTCAACTGTCTGATATATGCAAGATTTATACACCTCACACACTGCACGACTCAGTAGTTCCTCTAGTTCAGACAGAGAAGGACCGGAAATCATGTTCTCTGTTTTCTGTTGGGCACCATAAAATACTGATTTAGATAAATTAAAATAGCACTTTGACTATTTCTATGCTTGATTATACCATGTCATACAAACTACAGCAGCAGCAACACAAAATCTCTAGGAAGAAAATATTAGATTTGAAATATCTGTCTATCTATCTATGTATCTATCTGCCTGCCTATCTATCATCTGTCTGTCTCTGTGTCTGTCTGTCCACACACACACACACACACACACACACACACGTGTAAATAGATAGGTAGCTATTGAGATATATATCCCCTTGTTTGTGGGTGGTGGGAGGAGGGGAGAGATGTGGATTGTTTTTGTTTTCCTCTTCCGTTAAATGTTGGATAACACAAACTTGAGTTCTAATAAAAAACTGTATTTCTCAGCTGCTCAGGAGGCTGAGGCAGGAGAATTGCTTGAACCTTGGAGGCAGAGGTTGCAGTGAGCCAAGATTGGACATTGCACTCCAGCCTGGGCAACAGAGCAAGACTCCATCTAAATAAAAAAAAAATTGTATTTCAGAAAAAATAAATGGGTGCTGGGCACTGTGGCTCAGGCCTGTAATCCCAGCACTTTGGGAGGCCTAAGGTGGGTAGACTGCTTGAGCTCAGGAGTTCTAGACCAGACTGGGCAACCTGGTGAAACCCCATCTCTACAAAACATACAAAAATCAGCCAGATGTGGTGGTGTACACCTGTAGTCCCAGCTACTCGGGAGGCTGAGGTGGGAGGATTGCATGAGCCTGACAGGCAGAGGCTGCAGTAAGCAGTAACTGAGCCACTGCACTCCAGCCTGGGTGACAGAGCCAGACCCTGTCTCAAAAAAGAAAAAAAAAATGGTCAGGCACAATGGCTCATGTCTGTAATCCTAGCACTTTGGGTGGCCAATGTGGGAGGATTGCTTGAGTCCAGGAGTTCAAGATCAACCTGGGATATATGGTGAGGCCTGGTCTCTACAAATAATAATAATAAATAAAATAAAATAAAATATTTTAAAAATTATATTTGAAATATATATCCATATAAAAGAGTGTGTGTGTATACACACACACATATGTATACACACACTTCTACTTGAAGTGGAAGTGTATGTGTATACATATGTGTGTGTATACACACACACACTTTTATGTTTTCTGTGAATCAAGGAAAGATATCCATTCATTAACGGAAAGATATCCATTCATTAAAGTAATAAGAAAATATGTGATTGAGAAATATATGGGTGACATATAAGCCTTCAAAGATGGGCCCGATAATAACAGGTAGAATAATAAAGAATTGAAGGAAGAGATGTTTGATGGAGCAAGGCAAAGAACAGAAGAATATATGGAGTGTGTTTGTGTGTGTGTATGTGTGTGCACCCACATCTGTTGGTGACGGGTTTTGTTGGCATGGGAGTAGTTTGGGAAAATGGGTGAGATAAAGATGGATGTGTGGACAAAACCCACATTGCAAGTTAAAGGATTTGTATTTTGTTTTTGCAGGCAACTGGAAGCTAGAAAAAAATCTTTTAAGGCTTAAAAAGATTTCAGTGGAATTTACTCTGATATTTAATAACATAGACATGAATAGTGAGTTTAGCAAAAAGGAAGAGTCAAAAAGGAAGGGACAGTGGCAGGTGATTTCAATTCCACCTAGATGAAGGCCTGAAGTACAGCAGTGACACTGGGAATGAAGAAATACCAGTACTAAAAAGGATTATGAAGAGGGAGTCAACAACCCTTACATTACAAGAAGGAGACAGAGGTCAGAGAGAGGGAAAATGAACAGAAAAACCTCAAGTTTACAGTTTTGGAGCTCCGGGGGTGATGATAAAATCAATAATACTAGAGAATTTGAAAAAAGACGGTTTAAGGGGTAAGTTGATTAATTATGTATGCTCATACAGTAATTAAAGTTTGGAAAACAACATTATTTAGTCTTTTATTCAGCCAATTCAATAGGGCCTTAACTAGTAACCAACAAAACTTCATTCCTTATCAATGCGGCTACATTTTGTGGCAGAAAAAATATTCTAACATCTTTGCACTGTCATCTTTACACTTGTATACTTGATTTATGCACCCATGGGTTTTAAGTTCTAGTCTCATACAAAGCAATGAGAGATCACATATATCATCAATAATAGGTTCATTCTCTCGGGTTGTGTTTCTTAGAATACCTAGTGCATCAGTTATGAGAGCTGTCATTGCCATACCAGCCTGGCTCCTGACATTCTGAAGAAGGATTTATTTCTATGTTCCCTATTTTATTTCTGGAAGTTTACGTTGATGCTGAGGAAAAATCAGAATTTCAGTACAGTCCACTTAATTTTGGTAATCTAAATACAAATAGTGGGAGTCCTTGAGCAAATTAAATATTCTCATATTCGATTACAATATGAATGGATGAAATTCCACGAAATGCAAAATGTCTAAGGAGAAAAAGAGAAAATATTATAATCTTTGCTGGCACATGTAAATTCATAGTTAAACTGTACATCTAATTGTAGTCTGTTTTTTAAAATTTTTCCTCTAGGACATTATTAGAGATGCTGGAACGTTTATGAAAAGGAGAGAAGAGCATGAGATTACTTCTTCATTTTTAATTTCTAAGAGTCTAGTGTCAAAAGTAAAATATAATGAAATGTTTTACATTATAAGATAAATAAATAAAGATGAGGAGAATCAAGAGTACTTAACCATCCTTGGGAAAATGAATCATGATCTCTAGTGTTAGCTTGCTCTGTCCGTGGGCTTTGCAGGAGGGGATTGCCGCTACAGAATCTACAACTGGGATAACATATGTGTAGGATGAGATAATGTATGTGAACCTATGATAACCCTAGCCCAGCATGGACACACCAGTTTTTATACTTCTTTGGCTACATCTTTATATGCATAACTGTACTCTTCACATTTCTTCAACATTGACTAAAATGTGTTCAGACACACAAAAGTGCTTTTAATATAGTGCTAATAATACTCATGTCTCATAATTATAATAAAAATGATAGATAATAAATCTTTCTGGTGCCTTATATAATTAAGAATTGTCTTTGTTTTTAGACCACAAATAGTGATGATTAATATTTGAAATCCACAGTTTTCCAATGGGATCATTTCTATGTCTTATGAGCATTCTTAGAATTCACCAGCTAATATAAAAGGAGACTTGTACAGGTTGCCACTAAGGTTTGAATTTTGTTATCTCTGCTGAGGAAAATGGATTGTCTTAAATACTCAAAGGAGATCATGCATAAGTTTCCATCAAATCTAGGCATGAAGGAAAGGAAGACCTAGACCTTTCTAACAATTCAACGTAGAGCACACTTTTCTGTCAAATGTTATCAAAATGACTAGTTTTTCATCTAATTAATTTATGGAGAAATTTGAAATTTCATATAATATGTGATTTAGCGTGTATTACTCATGAGGCAAAATAAGATTTCTACTAATTTTTAATGAGTTAGTATGAAATACATTGTCTTTTACAGAAATAAGAGGAGAATCTTGGGTGCTCCCACTTACCAGCCCCACAAAAATGCAAAAGAGCTGAACGACGTCGGTGTAGGCCACAGAATAGAGCCCTCCCACCAGGGTGTACAGAGTGGCAACGAGTGCAGAGATGATGACAGAAATGTTCACATCCACGTCGATGATCACACTGATGGTGGCTCCTGAAACAAACAAGAGAGTGCTGTGGTCAAGGTGCCCAGACAGATTCTGCCCTTTGTATAAGGACACAGTGAAAGTTTAGTGATAAACAACATTTGTCCCTCTCTCATATGAAATGTAGTGGATGATAACACCTAAAGTTAATTTTTCTATTGAAATTTGTATATCTTAATAAATTCAGTGAGACACACACTTTTGCTTTCTGAAATGAGTGGTTTGCTAACTTATTTATGTGGAGGACACACAGATCCATGGTATGCTTATGGAAGACCCTGAATTACTGAGAAATTTAATTACATTACGAGAACTCAAAATAATTTCACTATCTGGAGCTCTGACTCAATCAAATACAGCCATGTGTTGCTTAACAATAGGGATGGGCTCTGAGAAACATGTCGTTAGGTGATTTCATTGTTGTGCAACTTCACAATGTATACTCACAAATCTTGATGGTATAACCTACTACACACCTAGGCTACATGGTATGGCCTATAGATCCTAGGCTACAAATTCGTACAGCTTGTTACTGTGCTGAACACTGTAGGCAACTGTAACATGATGGTAAGTATTTGAATATCTAAACATCATATCTCAACATAGAGAAAGTAACAGTAAAAATATGGTATTATAATTTTACGGGACCACTGTCATATATGCAGTCCATCATCGACCAAAATGTCATTACATGGCACATAACTGTATATGAAATACATTAGTCACATCTATGAAAAACACAAGGCTTTCTAAGAAGCATGATCACCCATTTCCACATTTCACCATTAACATTCATTTGCTATTTTGCATTTACTCTGCCCCCTGCTAGCTTTTGATAGCTAACAAATGGTTAAGGCAGCAGAGAATTGAGAAAAATTTGTAGGAATAAATTATCAAATTGGTAAATGTTATTAATCACTCTCTCCCTCTTTAATTTGTGACAGATCTCTCTTATTTTATTTAATTGGTAGAATATACCAGTCCTGTGCCTAGGATACCAATATACTGAAGAGCCTAAGATTTGAATATCATACTTTTTTAAGTAATTTTCATCATCAAAATTTTAAACTTCTCTTAGAAATCAAATTTATGTTTCTCCTTATAATATTGTTTATTGTGTTTGTTGGTCCTTATATTTCCACTGAACGTATTGAGGTATGACGAGTTTGGGCCACTGTGGTTCTTGGACTGACAGTTCATAATTCACTTGTTGCTTTACTAGTCCTTTCCCTATTGTTCTCAAAACTATACAGTTTACATGTCACATTGTTAAATGCATACATGAAATGGATCTGTGGTTTTATGTATCATCAGTTGCAGCCAGCTGAGTTGTCTTACATGCTACCCCCATTCCTCAGTCAGCATGCTAGTAATATATACAACTCACTGGAAATGAAACTACATTATCTCAATATAAGATGTGTTGATCCAAAATATCAGTACAAAATATTTTTCAATGCTTTTGCTATGGCGATAAAATAAAATTATTTTCCGGAGTAAAGACCCATTAAAAAGAAAAATCTAGTAAGAAGTTGGAGAAAGAAGACAAAGAAGAGAGATCAAGTATAGATGAGTGACTTTAGATAATTGACTGAGTTGTTTCATAGATATTTGAAAAGTAATTGTTTTCCTGAGATCATTTACTTCGAATTGAAACTTGCAATTCTTTGTTGTTCTTTTTTTGTGTGTGTAGTTCTCCACTTTAATAACACTTCTAAGCTACATACCATGAATTATGAAAAGTTCAATTATAAAATAAAGATTACCTGACTAAAATCTCAAAGATTTGGGGTCCTAGTAGATGCTATCACTTAACTGTAACTCAGAGATATTAGAGACGTCAATCACCTCTCCATTATCACTATTAAAATTAGATAAAAATTTCTCTAAAATATTTTCTGAATAATTAAATCAACTGCAGTAAGTAAAACAAAGTGATACTTTGAGGTATGCTAGTAAATATTAGTCTACTCATGAAGCTATAAAATAAATATACTGCAAAATTATGAAAATCCACTGAACTTGAGCTGTTAGGAGTATAAATACACATTTCTTTAAAAAGTTGGAAGATGTCCATTTCTACCAAGAAAACAGTTTAAGATTTTCCTATGCTTCAATGGTGAACTATACACATTCACACTAAGGTGGTAATAGATCTTATATATTCTTGAATATATCAAATTATTTGTAATAAACACTAAATTTTAATTAAGTCCAACTATTACTTTTTATTTGTGTAAATTTAAAGATTACAGTTGCAATGATGTTACCTGGGTATACTGCATAGTGGTGAAGTTTAGACTTTCAGTGTTTTCATTACCCAAATAATGTACATAGTACCCAGTAAGTAACTTCACACACACACACACTCACACACTCTCTCTCTCTCTGCCCCAAAGAGTTCAAGCAATTGCAGCAATATTTTTACATATGTTGTTTGATACATGTGTGCATGTGAGGGTGTAGAAAGATACAGACAGTAACATATTTTATATATGTAATCATGCATTACATAATAATGTTATCATCAATGATGAACCACAAATACACAAATTCTCACAAAATCATAATGAAGCTGAAAGAGTCCTATTGCTTAGTGACGTTGTAGCTATTGCATTACAATTGCCTATAGTATTCAGTGCAGTAACATGTTGCACAGGTTTGTAGCCTAAGAGCAATAGGCTATACCATACAGCCTGTGTGTGTAGCAGCCGCTACCAGCTGGGTTTGCATAAGTACACTCTATGTTCACACGACATCAAAATTGCCTACTGATGCATCTCTCAGAATGCATCTACATCCTTAACCTGACTGTATATTGTAATACAGGCACAAACATAGACACACATATATACAAAACTAATTATAACAAAGTTCACGGTTTCATTACTATATATTTCCAAAATACTTTAGAAGCATTAGCTTATTAATTCTATTCTTTTTCAGGACTCTATTATATAAGTTGATCTTTATTCAATGAGTGAGCATTTTGTATTTTGTTATATACTCAGCCCACTCCTTTTTTGATACCTCAGCAGGTAATTTGTTCTTAAAATTAAAATTTTTTGGTGTTGAAAACAATGGCAAATAAGCCCCCATTGCAACTCAGCTAATGAGAGTCAGGTGGAAAGCGAGGTGTAGTTTTACACATAATATCATTAGAACATAAGAGCAGCAGTGGGTGTGGAGTATTATTATCCAGCACCAGGGAAGTGCAGCATTTTCCACCTAGTTCTTACTGTATTTTATAACGATCAAATACTCTTGTTTCCGCAACAGTCACTCTGCTTTCTAGTTGGGAATCAAAAAAGTCCTGACTAACCTGCAGGATGAAATTGGATGTGCTGAAGGCGGGGCAGTGCATGCCTTTATGGGGAGCTTCCATCTCCCAGCTGCCTCAACAGCCTCAGTCAGGTCCAACATTCTCAACTGGTCCCATGTGGTACATCTAAGCCTGTGTCTCTAAGGGTAGATTGGAGCTGAGGAGATGCTAAGGCATGGGCTAACTTTTTCATATGAGTTATTGAGAAGACATTTAAACTGAAGGGGAAATTCTTGTTACACTCTACCATACTTATTATTTTCCACTACTAAACCATAACATTGAGCTTTATAATATCAATTTATTGAAATATTTCAAGTTTGTAGTTTTGCCGTGTGACTTACATTATTTACCTATTCTGTCAGCAAAGGGTTAGTGATATCTCACTTCTCCAGAAATGTTATTTACTGCTGGAACTGACTTTGTTTTATATATTTTTTAATTAGACATTTTATTTAAAAAGCCAACATCTCTAAAAATATTAGTGCTTTTAGAATGGCATGCAACACTGTAGTCTTGGGAGTTATCTAAACTATCTAAGTTTTATATTTGTGTTCATGCCAATTAACATGGCAGTTATTAGAGGGAAAACAATGGGAGGTAAAAAATTCTCAGCAGAAAGAACACTTATTGGAAGAAATTAAGATATAAGTCATTTATTTAAATTTATTCAACATCAAAAATATATGTTAGTATTCTCATTAACCCCTGGCTCATGAATCCTTGTTTTAAACATTTCTTTTAAGTAAATTGCACTTTTTAGCTATGCTTAATTCACTATACTTTGTTCAAAATCATATATGACTCATAAAAGCAAATTGATCATAATAATTCATGATTATTGGTCTAAAGAGGCAATTCAAGTATAGAAAGTGTGGTTGAGGTTTTATTTAACCTCTGCCACCATATTGCAAATAAACATAAAGTTTCCATTAAGCTTTTATGCATATAAATAAGGTTCAGTATATGGTTTTAATAAAAATGTCTTCAGAAGCCAAGGCTGAAGAAAGTAAGGTTGTGTATCTGATTGAAGTTTAGTTCACTGCGGAGATGCAGCTAGAACAACTTAGTTGGGTCCTTACCCAAAGCAGAGAAAATTGCTGCAGCCCAGAACATTTCTCCCATCAGTGCAGGTATAAACAGGAGTCCGCCCATGCGTTTCCCATAGATTTGCTGAAACGGGTCTAACATGGTCACATACCCCTTTGAACGCATAGGTTTTGCAAAGAACAGGCCACCTAAAAATTAAGCGAGTGTTTAGGAGGAAATAAAAAAATGTAATATAATAGTCTTTTATATTTCTCAGGGGAAATGCATTTTTCAGAACACCTATATGGATTGAGGAACCAGTCTGAAATATAATGTGCACACAGTACCAACCTACTCTAAATATTAGGTTTAGCAATCTAATGTAAATTATTGAGTACACTTACCATTGTATGTGTCCAAAGACAAGTGGATCTCATTGAGGCATGTGAATTGAAAAACATGAACCAACACATCGCTCACTTAAGTGCCTCAATGCATATCTATCACTCAACAGAGCATTTAGAGGTTTTGAATAAGCACAGATTCAACAAAAGCCTTCTGAGTGCCCAAAAAATGAGGTACCTTCTGTTATATAATACTTTTGACCTCTTATTCATTTGACTTGCTAAAAGAAATACAGGTACATTTCAAGCTGATTCATTTTTAATGATATATCCATACTTGTTTTGAAAGAAATAAAACATGATTACATTAAGAAATTCACTGTGCTGATAGCCACAGGATCAAAGGATTTTAAAAATATATTCCATAACCAAGAGATCAAATAATCTAAGCACTAGTGCTCTGCTACTTACCAATTTCTGGTAACGGCTCCTTAAAGATCTCAGGGTACCTTTTTTTTACAATGGTTATTTACAGTGTTTGACTGGTTATTCCACTTGTTATTACACTCTTGTTCTGTATGCTTTACTGAGTGAGTCACTGAGATTTGCACTTTCACTTACCTAAAATCAGACTAAGAGAATATCCAATGGGTGCCTGAGCCCAAGCTAGGCCATAACCTGGTACATAAACTGCTTCAGCTGTGCCATTGATATAGCCTCCTCCGACCCAGGTAGCTGAAACAGAATGAAAAGTGAGGGAGTGATACTGTCTTACCTGTTACACCTACACCTGCCTGCCAAACCAGTGGCTACTGGAGGTCACTGAGCACCTGAAATGTGACTAGCCTGGATTGAGAAGTTCTAGGAATATAAAATATACACCCGATTTCAAATGTTTTTTCTTTCATTGATCACATGTTGAAATGAAAACATGTTGAATGAATTGAGTTACATGAGTTATATTATTAACATGAATTTACCTATTTATTTTTGTTTCTAGAGGTTTGTAGAAAATTCAACGTTATGTTTACGACTCACATTGTATTTCTATTGGATAGTGCTGCCCTAGATGTTTTCTGAATGCATTGAGTCAGCAATATTTTCATGATATTATATATAATATAGTCTGAGGTCATGGGGTAAAATTTCTTTATTTCAAGGTCCTTCCATTTTAATTGTATTGATGTTTATATACTGTCCTCAGGGAGTGGTATGTGTGTGTACATGCATGTGTGAACACATGCATGTATGTAGGTGGGTGTATGTATGTGGAAATGTGCTTCTCACTGACAGAAATAGAGTCTTTCTTGAACACTTTGGGGATATCGGAGCTTGCAAATCTTATCTCCATCACCACTAAGTTGCACTTACTACCTTAAATTATTAGGAGTGAAGAGAGGATTGAGATGACACTTCTACTACAAGGAGTCCAAAGTGAGTTTAAATGTTACCTTAAGGCCTAGACTACCTAGCACTCAGAATAATGTAAAATGTGAACTGTGTACATACTTGCAATTCTATATTTTAATATGGATCTTTTAGTAAGGTATTTACTATTTGACAATAAGTAATGAAAAATACCTTATTCAGATAAATAAAATTTCTGTAGCATAATAGCTGAGGGAAGGAGGTCAAAGACCCAAAGAAAGTAAGTTTTGACTTGACTGGTTTGAGCCAAGCATGAGCTACAGATTAATATTTTTCTCCGAATAGACAATGTAATACTAGTACCATTTTCTCTGAGGAAATAGTATAATACTGAATCCTTGCTGAAAAACTAATGTTGAAGAGAACATTAAACTTTGCAGTTTATACCTTTTTGAGGTTACAGTGTGGTTGAAATATTCAAAACAATCCTTATGCAGAATTTGTGTAAAGTTATGATGGTCACAGGTTGGTAATAAAAATTTATCAGATATGAGGCTGAATTATAGATTGCATCATCCCATTATGAATAACACTTAACTCTGATGAATTTTCCAAAACTGTAGAATGTAGGTAAATGAAATAATATCTATACAAAACTACCTAGGATGCGTTTCTATTGTGTTTGTGCCAAAATTTATCTGGCTTTTAATCTAATACAAAGCAAAGAAGAGGGAGTCTTAGGATTGACATAAAAAGATTTTCCTACATAGGAATTTTAAGTACATTTAAATGAAAAGTTTATATACAAAATCCTGGAGCCAAATACATATTTAGCAATCACTCCCACCTTTGCAGTAGCTTTTACACCCAGTGTTAACAAATAACAAATGGCATTATTTGTTTTCTTATTCTAAGCCCTGCTGAAATTTTTTAAATGGCTTTTTTTTTTTTTTTTTTTTTCCCCACTATGTGTGTAACCATGACCTGAAGAAATAAATTCTTACAGGCAGAAAACTTGAGACTTTATCTTTCTACTGGGTAACTGGAATTGCTAACGTGTCAATGCTTCACTGCATAAAGTAAATGGTCTGATGGTCTTACAAGTACAAAGCTCATTAGTGATCATTTGTCATTGTGTAAGTTTACTGTCCCTTGTCCAAAAAGAAAATGAGTGCCTGAATCATTGCAACTATTGTGGTATAGAAGTGAGGGCTTGACTACTTACTACGACTTAAAAGTCCCCTTTTTAAATGAATTTAGTCTCTTCTGTAACAGCATTTGCTCTCCATGTTTGTATATTTTGCGTCAGATCCATGAGTGAGAACACAAACTCTTAAACTATACTCACTTTTAAAAGAATCAACATTTTTTAAAATCTCTATTCTTTATAAAATATATCCAAGTCAATCAATCTGACAAGGGTAGGTAGTAGGGTTCAGATTTTAAATGAATTATGATATTGACCAAGGTTATTTTGAGTTCTGAGAAAGAAAATAAAAGTTTTACAAACTGAGGAAGACCGTGGCCCTTTATAAAAAATAGCATTATTCAAATATTTTCTGTACCTTTTAATAGCTTATTAGGTTGGAAAAAAAACCTTCTAAATGGTAAAAGCAAATTATAAAATATTATTTTTATGACCATATTGAACAGAATATTAAATGAGAATATAGAGGGTTATAATTATTTTCAATAAACAACATATTTTGATATATAGCAGCTCTCTTATTCTTTCTACAGTGTTTACAAACTGTGCACCTTTTGAAAGAAAGAAAGTGAAACTAGTTACACGGCTGCATGTGGCACAGCATGGGGCGGTCGCCAGCATGGCCACCGGGGACCTGCGTTTGGTTCCGGCTGCAGCCTTGGTCCTTGTTAACCTTGTAACCCGGGATCTTCACTGAACCCCAGAACGCCATCATAGTGCTGTTAGAAAGACCAAATGAATCCACGTACAGTGGGTGAAGAGTTAAACAAAGATAAAATGTCAATGTCTGAAAGATAAAACTGATGGCTCACATAGAACACTGTAGGTTTCAGATGGCCAAAGTCAAGGGGCTCGGAATATGGATGACCTCTTCCCAGACTGGTTTGGTAAACTACCTGATACACAGGGTGAATCATTTTAAAATTGCACTTCGAGACTGAAATTGGGCATCACTTGATATAATTTCCCATGGGATATTTTTCTAATGAACACTCAGAGTTCCTGCTATGTTGCAAATGTTTAAAAACTCCACTAAGACTCTATAATGAAATATGTGTTGTTAGTGCAACTGTATTAAATATTAAACATAAAATTTTAAGTTGATTTTTTCAGGATTATTTTCAATGACCAAGAAGAATAGAGAAAAGAAACAAATCACCCTTTAAACAGAACCACCTTAGTGCAAAGTAAGAAAGAATATCAGCTCCTGCTAACATAACGAAGGTTTGAATGAGAAATGACTACAGATGGTGGCCTGGGGATTCCTATGAGGACACGCCCTAGGTTTTCCCTTTTATAACAAGGTTCATGACATTTCTTTATTAGTGCTGTGGAGTCATAACATGTGATTGTCTTCCTGTGAGGAATTAGTTATTAAATGAAATTATTCGGTTTCAAAACAGGGAATTACTCAATTGGAAATATTATCACCCCCACATTTATTTATGCAGATTAAAAACCATCACTAGTTGGTATTCATTGACACTTATCATTTAAATTTCAAAGTCACAACTTTACGCACGTATTACTGGACACGTTGAGATGCTGCCTATCACATTAATTAGCGGATACATAGCTTGTAATACTAGGACAGCTTCCCATTCCCCCACCTCTTTGTTTTCACTCTGTTTCCACCCACTCAACAACCCAGAGAGCCAAGATTTGTTTCATGGCTCTTCAGTCCAGTGATTTATTATCAAATCATTTTTGTTCAAGTACTACTGAGTTGAAACCAATTTATTTTTAGGTTTTAAATGAATAGAAAATTATTTTAAAATATATATAACTTGTGAACATAAAGAATCCCCAAAGGACAAAGAGCAACATTTGCTTTGTCACTCTGAAGCCACACGCTGCACACACACAGATGCCAAGGAAGGGAGGACTGCATGGAGCCGGCGGCGTCTGAACGTACCTGTCATGGTAAATCCACCAACCAATAAACCAATATCTCGGCCACCAACTATGATGGCTTCGCTGCGCTCTTCTGCGCTGCCACTGTTTTTGGTTCTCCAGGCAGCCCATATTCCAACCAGCAAAATTAGAAGGTAGAACACGATGATAGCTATCAGTCCTTCCACATGGAAAGCCATTTTTATCTAATGATCCAGATTCTTCTGCAGCTGGCTACTTCATTAAGACTTCTGAAGAAAATACAGGAATGCATTATAAATCAGTCGAGCACTATGCACACGTAGGCAGCCAGGAGTTAACCAGGTGGATCATGAGAGACCCTGTGTCACTCACAGAAAGAGTACAACGCTGAAACCACATGTAAAATGGGCAGTTACCAATAAGTGTCCACTACATTATCCTACTTTTATTTAACAATGTAACATTGCTTTGAGTTTGCAAGGAACAGGAAAAAAAAATGGAAATGTAGTTTAACAAATGGAATCATAATCCTTGTGTGTATATCTCAACTCAGTAACTGTCAAATGGTTTACAAAGAGTAGGGCTGTATTTGCGTTTTGGAACTAAGTTACTCTTCTAGAATTATTTATTCACTTTAAGTGTTTTACAAATGACTATTCTGAAAATTTTAAAATATCCATTAATTTATTCATTCTTTTATCTGTCCTTTCAAACAACTTCAGAGAATGGCTTCAGTAGTAATCTGATATAAAAATATCTGAAAAAAAATCTTTAGAAAAATTCATTTCAAAAACACATCAAACTCCACATTTTCAACAAGTTTCTGTAGTTCAAGTTACTATAGCAACTAAGTATGTTTTTTGTTTAAAGGGTCCACTCTCTTGATCTTCTTCGCCCAGTATCCTTCATTCAATTCATCACCCCCCATTAATGGTACATACAGGAAAAGGTTTTTTTGTTGTTGTTGTCGTTGTTGTTGTTGTTGTTGCTTTTTAAACAGAATTGCCTAAAAGCACAACAGAAGGATCAAAGATACTAAAATCAAGACTCTTAGAAGACAAACGTCAGGTTCGAAAGCATTCACCTTCTGAAATTCTTGTTCTCTTTTATTTATTTATTTACTTTTTACCTTTGTGACCACGGCTGTTCCCTGAACCCAAACTCTCACACACAAGTTTCTGGGGGAAACTCTGATATTTGTGCATGCAGGTGGGTGAAGAGCCTTTGGGGAAAAGAATCAGCCTCTTTGGAATTTAAAGGAGGCAAAAGAAGCGCCCGCGGGCTGGGTCGTCTCTGCCTTTGTGAGCTACCAAGCAGGCAAGTTCCTCTCCGCGCCAGCCCGATGCTCTCCCGGCCCCCTGCGGCCCTTCCTCGGCCCCTTCTACCCATCTCCTGCGCCCAGACTTTGTAGCCTCTTGCACCCTCACAGCAGCGGTGCCAGACAGCAAACCCGCCGTTGCATCCCACCGAGAGGCAAAAACGCCGCGTCCCTCCCCTCTAAAACCGCCCGGGCTCGGTGCCCAAGGCGTTTCCGAGGGTGCGGGCCCCTAGGCGCAGGAATGCCCGCTAAGCTCCTACCTGGAGTGGTAGCTGCACGCGAAAGCGCTCCGCCCGGGGCCGCCGCCCCCTGGCACCGTGAGGGGTGTGGGTGCGAGGGTGAAGAAAGGGAGGGTGCGGGGTGGGGCGAGGGTGCAGTGCGGAGGGGGGCCAGTCGGTCAGGGCGGCTCCTCACCCGGCGTCTCCAAGAACCTGGGAGCGCGCAGAGTTGACAGGTGTGGGCGCCGGCGGAGGGCGCGCGGCGCCGGGCGAGGTGGCAATCGATCGAGTATTGGGAAAAGTCCCCTTTATAAGGGCGGCCGGCGGGGGCGATCGTCAGAGCTCAGGAGGCGGACGTCAGAGGAAAGTGGTGCTGGGGCGTGTGCTGGGGAAGCTGCCCTCGCGAGGAGGGTGGGTGTGCGGGATGCGAAGGAAACGGGGCCCAAGGAGCTGGGGGGCAGGCTGGGCTCAGGTCCGCGCTGCCAGCCATGGTATCCCCAGCCATGGGATCCCCATCTCGAGGCAAGTACCTGCCACTCCATTCTCCTCCTCCAGAAAACTGGGCAGAGATCCCTTAGGGTCATTCCCAGTCTAACTTCTCATCCCTATGGTTGGAAGCTGGGAATGGGGAGGGTCTCAGAGGACTACATTTTCAGAAGCAGCAGCAGCAGCTGGAAGCCTAGTGGAGAGAAGTTCTTTTCTTCCCAGGTCAGAGTCTGGAATTGTTTCCTGAGGAGTCTCTCTGAGAGGGAAGGGGTGTTTCCTGCGGCCTCTCCTGGGCCCTGTTGGAAGCTGTTCCTGGCGTCCCTGGTGATGGGCTCCCTGAAGGAGACATTTCAGGAAGGTTTAGAAAGTCCTTTTTACATTCATGACCCTGCCACTTAAAAGTAGGGCTACGATGAAGGACGCTAGGAGTGGTCCAGATTAACATTGAGGTTATCACAGAAGCCAGACAAGATGGCTTTCCCGGTGGGGCCCTTTGGGCTGCTGGCCTGCTGAATATCCTATTCCAGCTTACACAAATTTGCTGTTAGTTTACAATATATCAATGTACCTACCTATTTTTTATAGATCTTTTATATATTACACATATAAATATGTATCTATAGATGTATTCCTAAATCTAGGTATATACGGATAGACGCAGATACCTATGTGAATGTGAATGGAGGAAGAGAGAAGAGTGGGAGAGAATAAGACAGAAGAGCCACAAGCCACGAAGCCACAAGCACTCGGACCACTGTCTCACTTCTTTCCACATTCCACCATGAGAGTGTATTTAACAGTGAAATACACAAATCTAACAAGGAATAGAATAAATAAGAGTACCTCTGAACTACTGTTCACCTCTCTAGGCCAGTCAGACCATCTCCCCTTTTTCTTACACTGGATTTTGAAATTCACCTTCAAATTTATATTACTACCCCTTTTCTTTCTTCCCTGTATAAACAATAACTGCATCCAACTCCCTCTTTTGAGGTGAGAAAGCCTAGGGAATTCAAACAGAAACTAAGACGGGCCAAAAGACCTGCAAAGATAGTTATTTCCCCTGGGTTGTATGACTAGTTCATTGATTTTTCTGGAAAAGACTTAGGTTGCCTTTTAATATAACCCCATTTTTACATATACATTTTATTAATTTAAGCAATTTTAAGGAACTGGCAGAGGGAAACAGATGGGGTTTCATATAATTACCCATGTGTTTTAAAAGAGGTTCATTCATTCATTCATCCATCCATCCATTCATTGATTGCTTTTGTTTTTGTCTTCTATAACTCATTTTCTGATTCTGGGCCTTAGCCTCAGGTTAACTTATGTATTTCCTGCCAGAATATACTTACGATGATGATGACACACAGCTTATTGCTGTAGCAGGGCAGGCCTGGGCAATTGCAGTGTCTGAAATAGTGCACAGGCCTAAGGTCAGGGAGCTTGACTCAGATCCAAAGAGAGACTGAAGAGGCAGCCGTCCTCAGAGAACATCACCCGCCTTTAGGTATGAGAATTGGGAGTGCAGCCAAAGCACACCTCCGAGAGCCCACCTAATCCACTTTGAGAAGCCAGGCTTGCCAGACTCTAGACTCAGTGCCAGATCTGAGAATGGACAATGACCTTGACAGCGGCCGAACTAATTCTGGCCTGGCAGAGCGGCTGTCCTCCACGACAAGAAACACCAGTTGAAAATGACAACTGCTGATGTATTAAGTCTAGTACTGGGGAGACATTTCCTCATTTGCTCAGTCCTTTGCACTCTGCGTCTGATCTAAGGATGAAGCTGCATGTGAATTTCTGTGCCAAGGTGTCATTTCCCAGACACCCATTTCTCTTTTGTCTTTAATATGGGTACTTTAATATGTACCTCTTCCTCGCCTCTCCTGAGAATATGTGATCATGCATGGATTTAGGGAACTACGTGTCAGTGGGAGATCAATTCCCGCTTTGGGGGAGAAAAAGCAGGTTTTGCATTTACAAATCATTTATTTAAAAAAAAAAAAAAACACATTTTCTGAGTGCCTTTTACATTCTAAACACTCTCCTCAGTACTGAGAATACATCTAGAAAATGATATAAACCTTACCCTCAAGTAATTTATCCATGAAAAGAAATAAAGAACAAAGAAACAAAAGCTCCACTTCTATATACTATTGTAAGTGCATATCTATATACACAGATTTTAGGGAAAGTACAAACAAAAGGTCTTCATCAGATGCAGGAATTCTTCCTGGAGGAGCAGAGAGAGTCATTTATCCAATAAATGTATAAAAACACCTGGCCAGGCACGGTGGCTCACGCCTGTAATCCCAGCACTTTTGGAGGTTGAGGCGGACAGTTTACCTGAGGTCAGGGGTTCGAGACCAGCCTGGCCAACATGGTGAAACTCCGTCTCTACTAAAAATACAAAAATTAGCCGGGCGTGGTGGCAGGCACCTGTAATCCCAGCTACTCGGGAGACTGAGGCAGGAGAATTGCTTGAGCCCGGCAGGCGGAGGTTGCAGTGAGCTGATATAGTGCCATTGCACTCCAGTCTGGCCGACAGAGCAAGACTCTGTCTCAAAAAACAACAATATAGCAACAGCACAAAAAAACAAAAACAAAAACAGAAAAAAAACACCTGTTGCCTTGTGCTAGGTATATACTCAATTGATTGAAATGAAAAGATCCCTGTCTTTAATAGGTTAACAGTCTCTGACCTTGCCATTCAAAGTACACTTCATGGAACAGCAGCATCAGCATTACTTTTTTTTTTTTTTTTAAAATAACAGCTTTGGTAATTCGAGAATGTCATCACTTGGTCTATACATTTTGAACATGTTTCAAATATGATCCAAATGCATGTTGAGATTGTGGGGGCCCATTTTGCTTGATTTATTATCCTTCCTAATGCTCCAGTTTCCCCATACAATGTTAACTTAAATCTTTCATACCTTTTAATGGATTACATTTAGCTTGAATTAAAATTGGCCAGTCATTTCCAAACCAGGTTGATCATCAAAATTATAGAGTTCTTTAAAAATTGCAGCTACTAAGGTCCCAGAGCACAAATTCTGACTTTGTAAATCTTGGGCAAGGGTTTGGGAACCTGGTTTTCTTTCAACCTTTCCCCAATGATCTTGATGACAAGCTGGGATTGGAAGACGATGTTGAGTTTCAGAGTGGAAATAACTTTGAAAGTCAAAACAGACAACTTTAGCTCAGGTTAACTAGTTATGGAATCTTTATCAAATTATGTTATCTTCACTGTGTTTTAATGTTCTTATCTGTAAAGTGGAAATAAATAAAAGGTCATTTCAATCTCATGGGAGTGTGAGGATTCATTGAAATGGCCTTTTGCACCCATGGGTTCTGCATCCATGGATTCAACCAACTGGGGATTGAAAATATTGGGTAAAAAAGCATGTCTGTACTAAACTCAGACAGACTTTTTTTCCCTCATCAATTTCCAAACAATATAGCATAACAACATTTACATAGCATTTACATTGTATTAAGAATTACAAGTATTCTAGAAGTGATTTAAAGTATATGTAACGATG